TGCCCGGCTCCGCCGTGGATCGGGCCGGGCCGCGCCTGGCCGCCGCCGCCGTCGAGGCCGTGTGCGCCTGGCACGCGCGCCAGGAGGTGCAGCAGGCGGAGAGGGCGCCGCGCACCTTCGGCGGCGGCGGCGGCTACTCGCAGTGCAGCTGCTTCGAGGGTCTGGCAGGCGCGGCGGCCGGGTTCGCAGCGCTCGGCGCGCTCCTTGCCTTCGCGCTGGCACAGGCAGCGGCGGGCGGCGGGCGGCGGCGGCGGCGGCAGGCTGAGCCGGCGGCGGTCCCGCCGGCGTCAGCGTACCTGCCCCGCCTGCTGGAGCTGCTGCACCGGCCCGACGACACCGCCTGCAGCGCGGCCGCGCTCTGCCGGCTGAACCGGGCGGCGGCGGCGGCAGGGGGCGCCACCACGCTCGGCGTGCGCCTGGCCAGCCTGCCGCTCGCGCACCTGATGACGCGCGCGCACCCCGGCACCCAGTTCGGCAGCCTCTGCCGCGCTGCCGTCAGCTCCTGGACAGAGCCGAGCTGTACAGCCGCCCCGGCCGGCTGTCCGGAGCCCGGCGGGGGCCAGGGCGGACAGTAGCCCAGACAGGACAGCTGGCACGACAGTTAACGGAAGGGCGGGTAGGACAGCAGACGGGGCATTCAACCGGGCAGTGAAGAGAGGAGCGCATAGGATAGAAGACAGGACAGCTGGTCAAGCAGTAGACAGTACACCAGACAAGGCAGCGGACAGGATGGCGGACAGTGAGCGGACGAACAGCAGACGGGCCGGAGCAATATCACACAGCGCCCTCCGTTCCAGTCGCGACGTATATGATCACGCGCGTGAAGTACGCGGGGATGACAGGCGAAGTTCATCGCCCGCGCCTGACTTCAAAGAACGGAGGTGGGCCGCGGGAGCTTCTCAGCTCCACACCGCAGGACGGTCAAGCGACGGTGCCGATGTCTAACGCCAACGCCGGACGGCGATCGACGTGACGTTGAACTGGCAGTCATGCTATCGACAGCTGAGAGGATCGCGCCGGCCCAACGCACGGCGAACGCGTGCGAGACAACGCTGCCGGCGACAGAGCCCCACCCACCGCCGGAGCCAACAGCCGTCAGCGGCGCCACCTTGCCTGGCCGAACCGGCGCAGCGAGCGCCCCTAGCGGAGGCAGCACGAACTCCGACGCACGGGCATTATGAGCCGGCGGGCATTATGAGCCGGCGGCAGTGAATGAGCGCGGGCAAGGTCGCGGCGTACGCAGACCAGCACGGCGCCGCGGCCACGGCCGTGACGGCATCACGTCGTCATTGTTGCAGGTGGCCGGCCGAGCAGAATGCGCGCGGGGTCACGAGGGCCACTTCCTGCCGCGCGCGCCGCGCGGCGTCCGCTCCACTGCACCCACCGACGCCAGCGGGTCACCTCCTCGCGTCAGCACGAGGGACGGCGGCGGCACAGGCAGCCGCCGGCTGTGTACAGGGGACAGCCGGCGCTGAAGCGGACGCGGGTCGGGCCCGTGCTGAGCTGGCTTTTTCACGCGAATAAATACCCACGCTTGCCAATAGGCTTCGTGTCTTCGTGAAGGAAGGTCAACTTGCCTCGCGGGGCCTTGATGGAGCACTATCCTGCGTACATCGTTATGACTACGACCATCGCTGTGCGCTGAAACGCACAACTGGATCGTCGCCATTACAATGCGTCACACTAAATACTAGTGTTACTAACTACCCATCATATGACATTTCAATGCGACTGCCGCCGGTGGTGGGTCTGCAGGTCGAAGCGAACAATTCGCCAGAGCGAGCTCCATAACGCAATGATAGTCTGCATAACAATAAGGAGAACAGCCTCCGAGGCCAACTCCATTTGCTCACTTGCTGGTCATTATTGCCTCCTCGGTCTGATTCCACTGGGCTTGTGATGCCAACAAACGGCCAAAATACCCGCTGCCTGATGAACGTCACAGGGCGCCCAGTCACGTGACGTACCGGGAGACCGGGCTGTCTCCAGCCACCTGACACCGACATCAGCCCCTGTCCCATCCCCCCCCCCCCCCCCGTAAACATCCGGCCGTGCCCGACTTAGGCCTGCCGGCGGGCTGTCACACCACACTGCCAGCGGTGTCGGCGGCACCGGCGGCGCTGCGCTGCGCTGCTGGGCGGCGTGCCCACGCTCTGAATCCCTGTGCTACTGGCCGCACGCCGTTCGCAGTGCCCCAGCCAGCAGCAGGACCCCAATCCCAAACTCCCAGGTACCGGGTCTGCGTTCGTGGCCGCTGACCCCGGTCGTTGCCCTGAGGTCTGACCCCAATCCCCAATCACTGATCTTACGGGTTTCCGAGCCACCGTGCGGAAACAGAGAGCCGCAGACCGCGACCGGAGCCACTCGGACTGAGCTCCGGCCTGAGCCACGCAGCCGTCCCCGGTCCCCAGATCCGACTCTGGCAGAGGACATGCGCCACCGGACCCTGACCCGCGGACAGCTGCCTGGACCCGCACGGACCGGAGCGTGATCCCGCATAGATCGGACTCTGAACACAAACGGACTTAAGTCCGCCCCCGCACAGACCGCAGTCTAAGCCTGCACAGACTGGACCCTGACCCAGCACAGATCAGAGCCTTCCCCGTATAGTGCGGACCCTGACCGGGACGTGCGCCGCCGGACCCTGACCCCGCACAGACCGGACCCCAACTCCGCACAGGCCGGAGCCTGGCCGCACCTGGACGTCAGCGAACTGTGCGTCGGCTCGGAGCAGCAGGTTGGTGCCGCGCCTCTCGTCCGCCAGGTCATCGTACCGCTCGCTGCTGGCGCGCCTCGGCAAGAACACCCTGCAACAGACGGGGGCGGCTGCTGAGACAGGGAGACACAGAGGTAGATTGCTGGGAAAACCCTGGGACGGGGGGAGAGACAGGCTGCTGAGGGGGGACGACACAGAGGCGGACTGGAGAGTACACCCTGGGACGGAGGGGACAGGCCGCTCAGACAGGGCGACACTGAGGCAGGCTTTAGGGAGTACCATGAGACAGGGTGGCGCGAGGGACGGGCTGCTGACGCAGGACGACACCGAGGCAGACTGGTGGGAACAACCTGGGACGGAGGGGACAGGTCACTGAGGCAGGGAGACACAGTTGCAGACAGGTGGGAGCACACTGGTACGAACGGGGACAGGCAAATCACACAGGACGACACAGAGGCAGACTAGCAGGACCCCATCGACACGGACCACATCCGGGACAGACCAGGGCGGCGGCAACGGCAGCGGCGGGGACAGACCGCTGGTGAAAGCAGATTGTATACACTGAACTGCAAACTTACCCTTCTGGCTACAGCAATGACGTCCCTGGCCCGCAACATGTTTATTCCCGCTGCCTCTAAGAGCTGATTACCGACCTGGGCGAGCACGGTCAGTCGTGTCGAGCGCTGGGCGCCGGTACTGCGATGATCTGAGGCCGTGTCCCACCCATGGGGCATGTTTCAAAAGCATACTCTAGCGAAACATCGGGACTAGTTACGTCCAACAAGAGCATTGGGTAGTGTCCCTGCCGCGCCGTCGACATAATGAGGATATCCATTTTAATTATCTTCGAGTCCAAATTACGCTGTTAAACGACCGCCGTAACGTTGTCCTGTCGCTCCCGCTCCCCCCCCCCCCCCCCCCCCCCCACTGTCCCGTCCTCAAATTGTTGGTGCACCGCTGTTTGAGAACGCAGAAACGCGCCCCAGAGGGGGCGGTACAGCGGCGCACCGACCCTAGACAGACATACAATCCAGCTGCACATACCTTTCGAAAAGCAATACACGTGAGGATGTCGGCAAGACATCAAGCTGCCATACGTTCCTTCGAGCATGGCTGTTAGTCAGACAACAGAGCAACGGCTGGCTATCATTCCAAAGCAGCTCCATTGGGGCCGTGCATGCTCACAACATCCAGCACCATACGTCAGACAATAACATATAATATATAACATACCACCGAGTCCTGGTCCCGCGCCTGTTTTCTATGTTACAGACGATGACCAGCCTGCGACTTTCGTCCTGGCCAGGGAGTGACGGAAAGCGATTACGCCAAATAGCCGACCAAGCGCTGACGTCACGGCCTTGTAGCGTTGTAGCGAGCATATGCGCCTGCTCACACTTCCACCCCTCGAAGCAAACGCTGCATCGGAGAGGAATTTGAGGGACGAATTTGAATTTGAATTTGAATTTGAAATTCCAGCTTGCGTCCGTTCTTGCCCGACGGGCCCGCACTGATACTTACTCTTGTAGCGGTATTGCTCAATGGAGAGTACTCCGGCCCAGCAGCGGTGAGCCGAGTCGAGAGCGGTGTTCGAATCTCGCTCCCAGCAAGAGTTGTTCCCGTTCGTCGGTCGGAACAAGAGGTCGGTCGGCGTGCGACATCGCGACGCTGCGCAACATGCGGAATGAGCCACCCACTCTCAAGACGGTACCCGGGCCCAGCTGCCCAACGGGCCCAGCGCCGTGCCCGCGGTGGCTGGGTCGCTGTGACGTGCCGGCCCTGCACGCGCCCGCCGGACCACACCCCTGCACGCGCAGTCGGACACGCCCTGCACGCGCCGGCGGGGCATGCTGACGTCGCGACCCCGACTACCGACGAACACGCCCCGGGCCATTGTGACGAAAGACCCGCGGACTTCCGGCGGCACCGACGGAAGAGGGGGGGGGGGGGGGAGGGGGGGGTCACGGACGGCCGCTTGCTGCGCCGTACCGTCAGGGCCCCGATCCTCCCAGGTCAGCAGGATCTACAGCGCTGCTCTCGGCGGGCTCACAGTCAGAGTGTGCAGAGGGCGGAAATAGCTCCACTGCGCTGCATATCTGGCCAGCACTGGGCGGGATCTGACCCGCTCCTAGCATCCGGCGCGCGGTCATCAGATGTCGGCGCATTTTCTTCTCAAACATGGCTGCGATGTTTTGGGCTTTTCCGTGGTTCAGCAGCTTTGATTCCGAAGCACACATGCTACCTATCGCGTCACACAAGCAGCCACCCGACTCAGCAGGTAAGGGTTATAGCAATGTGGCACAACAGCCACGTTCCAATCAGACATCGCTCTCACAAACGATACGCTGGCGTCTGCCAGAAAGCCGACGACATGTTCGATGTACGAGGACCATCCTAACGCCGACACCCTGGGTCATCGGAGCAGAGTATGTGGAACACATAGTGTACCGAGGAGGCGGCACGTCCCGTGTCAATGCGCTGGCAAGTGACCAGCACGTGGTGTTCGGATAGGGGCCGTTTGCCACTTGAAGGCAACGCGGATCTAATACCACACACGGCAGATAGCTATGATGGATGTGTCACCAACGCGATACCGCAAAGTGTTTGTATTCTTTATCATTGTAAGTTTGATAAATAAACGTACTGAAAAAGCAAATGTACTGAGTGTTCCTACAACGCGAATGCAGCTACTTACGCCACCGTCAAAGCACCACATCGGGGACGGCTCAAGACGTGAAGTTTTTCCCGCATCTTGGGACTTGCCCAAGCGCTATCAGACTTTTCAAGTTGAGAAGTCGACCTTCATCGTCACGGATGCAGCCTCAAGTGCAAATTGTTGTGGATTCTAATCAGGGGATGAGTTCCTGGTAGAACTCGCTCTCTGTCAACGACCAACACATAAATAGGAACAGCGAATGTTTAGAAATCCCGTGAGTATATAGTATTATTACAATGGTTGGGCGAGTCATGCTGCCTCCGGCAGGCGTGTACAGGCCGGCAGAACGACTGGCAGAGCGTCTTTAACTCACGCTTAATTTACGTTAGCTAACTGCAGCAAATTGGCTGTTCATGTGGGCCGAGGGAGGCGGTGGTGTCTCGGAATGGTGACGTAATGATAATATATGTTTAACTGATATTTCGAATGATAATCAGTAGCTCGATGGCTTGGCAAAGCCACGTCTCACGCTTTTCGCGACAGCACGAGCTCTATGGCTATATGACCCAGATGAGGCTTTATTTCGCCATCACAATGATCTATAACTCTTTTAACACACCAGCAACCTGATTTACGCCTTGCTTTTAGTCAGGCTGTGAACTGTGTTCATAACCCGCCGCGCGATTCATATATTCGGAACCTTATGCGCATGAAATCAGCCGGAACCAAGCCACCCTCAACGTGGGCATTGTGGCTTTTCCAGCAACGTGCATAATTACCACTATTTACCACGGTATAAGTAGGCTGTTCGCTGGCATCAATGCAACAGAACACAGAAAACATAACTGCATCCCGTGCGATTGGTTGGAATCGAGCTGTTTTCAGAAAACGCGCTCCACCGTGACGCCGTGACGTGCCGCGCGTGGCGTGTTCCATCGCGGCGGGCGTGACGGCGGTGCGTGCTCCGCGTCACGCGGGCCGCGTGACGGGCGCTGTTGCCATCATCGCAGCTCTGCCTCCTCTCCGGGCTGCGCGCGGAGGTTCCGCGGCCCGCCGGTGGGCCGGTGCTGCCGGCGCTGCCAGGCTGCAGCCAGCCGGGCGCGGCGCTAACGACGCCAAGGTCACGACAGGGCCGAGTACGTGATCACGCATCGAGTAAACAAGACAGTGGGGCGGACCAGAGGAGCGGGAGCCAGCCGCCCGGCATCTCCCCCGTCTACTGACCAGGTCACCTGTGCATGGCGCAGTCACACTGAGAGCGGTACCGCCACGGGTGGTGACGCCGCACGTGGCACGTGGCACGCGGACACTTGGGCACGCGGTGACCGCGACGACGTGCACGGACCACACGCGGGCGAGTCAACACAACACCCAGCCAGGTCACGGCTCCATAGTCACGAAGACAGATGATCATGGAGAAGGCAGACCTCGGATGCCTTACATCGGCTGGGATCGGTACGTACCCTGCTGGAATCAAATGAATACACCGGCTCGGTTGACGTTAAGACAGGCGTGTACTTTCCTATTCAGTCGGGAAGGCCTCAACCCCCAACTTGGGCTCCGGGCCGCCCCCTCCCCACCCCAACTTTGAGAAGGAAGTGGGCCAAATCCGTGGAGAAACCATAGAAAACAATGCACTAGTGTACTTAAGGATATGCTCCGCCATTTTTTACCGTTCCGCCCCAGCCCTCTTCATTTTAGGAAATCACGCCCTGGTCTCGAGACGGCGGCACTGAACAAACCGTCGTATTTGACTGCCAAACACTAGTACTGTTATTGGAAACCAGCCTCACGGCTGCCGTCCGTCCATATAGGAAGTCCCACTCTCGGAGAGAGCTCGTGTTAGGAACAGCGTCCTCTTCGGGGGATGACCTGTTCAGCGTTCAGTATCCACACACCGGCTGGTTTTTGTCAGGCGTGTTGCGAGCCATCTTTACGGAGCGGGTCCGCGCCACGGCCCCGGCCTGTTCTCGCGGTCTGACCCGGTGACCTGTGCACGCCGCAGGTCATCGGGTCATGCCACAACCCCAGCCCTCCTCGCGGTCTGACCCGGTGACCTACGCCGCAGGTCATCGGGTCATCCCCAGGTCATCGGGTACGCCGCAGGTCATCGGGTCATGCCACGACCCCAGCCCTCCTCGCGGTCTGACATGGTCACCGAGTCACCTAGCGACCCCAGCTGTCTTCGCGGCCTGATCCGGTGACCCGCACATGCCGCAAGTCACACCACGGACAGCAACGGGACGAGCCACGACTTTAAGCCACGTCTTAACGCTAACCACGGATTCGAAAGAACGTTTCCGACGCTACAAAATGACCCATGCGAGACTGGCTGGGTCCAAAAGTCATGCTGGGGCATCGCTATCTGTGTTCTGGGCATCCTTGTAAGTTTCATCGCCAGAAAACGCAATACACTGCTTTCGGTACCCTTCTTC